TGTTTTTTTTCTTTTCTTTTTTCCCTGAACTTGGCTTCTTAATATCTGGTTAATTAAAGTTTTCCTTTATTGTTTGTTAGCAGTTATGTCATTACAGGTTAGTAGTGATGCTGTGACATTGGCTCCTACAATAGAAAGTACCGCCCCCTGGTGGCATTTATCTTGCTGGATCTCATGTCTTTTTTTTAATGCTATATATAATGTAGATCTTTCAGAGATTAGTCTACTTTGTTCCCACAGTATTCATGAATAAATGTTTATTGAGACAAAAGACCAACTGTTCTATTTAGTGAATTGATGGATAACATTACAGACTTTTTTATGGACAGTTATGTTTAATATCCTATACATCATCATCAGCTTATTATTTTTTTAGCTCTTATTTTTTTGCTTAAATTCCTTATTTTTTGTGTTATAAAGCAAACAGAGACTCTATAGTGAAAACTCAGATACACATAGAGAAAAAAAAAAAGACGTGTAAATAACAATTATCATCCCAAAATTATAATAGCTATTGGAACAGTCTACTAAGTAACATAATTATCTGGTTGCCTGTGTTTGATGAATAAAATATTTTTAAAAATACCCGTGAACCACTAAAGTTGCAAATAGATTCTTGTGATCATATGAGCTCTCTGTGTTCAGCCAGGCAGCACGTCACTGGATTAAACCTTTATAGAGACTTGGTTACAAAAAAAAAGAAAGAAAACACAAAAAGTTTCATCCTGTAGCAGAACCATTTCAGGATTTAAGACGGGATGTACAGGTTTACAAATTAACGATGATACAGAGCAACCTAACATAATCAACAAACAATACTTGTTGTGGCCTTTCTTATTCCTTTTTAGCTCATCACCCAATTTTTTTGCCTCACTGTCACAAGTACAGCAACAAAATTGAATCTCTGCATTTAATCCCCTAGGGGGAGCAGTGTGGCTACAAGGGTTATTGCTCAGGGTGGCAGTATGTGGGATTGGGATTCAAACTCACAGCCTCAGGATTCCAGGCTCTATGCCCTAACCACTAGGCCACCACTCTTAAGACAGAAACAGCTTTGATTCTAGCATGAAGCGTAGCTATAGCTTTAACAACTATATTTAAAGTAAAAAAGGCACAGAGATGAATCAGCCCAGAAGACTGAGACTCAATACAATCATGTTTCATACAAAAAAGGTTATTCTTCGTGTGTTTTTTTTTTTTTTACAACATCCTCTGTCTTCTCTGAAATGTGTCGATGTAACCAATGAAATCAAATACTTTGGTAGACAAAGAATTAGCTTTTTCTCTTAGCACATAGAAAGTATTCATATCAATGCTGCATATGATCAAAGCCCAGAGGCGTAACCCTGCTTAACACAAGCAACCTTAAAAGCTGCTGTTTTAGAGCACTTTCCATAACTTACATTTCAATTTAGTCCCATGTTTTCCTTTTGATTTTACAGAGCTCAATAGACTAATTGTTGATTTTTCAAGTCCTTCAAAAATACTTGGAATGCTTTGGAAAAAGTGTTCACACCCTTGACCTTTTTCCCCATTTAGTGTTACAACTACACACTTCAATGCATTTTATTGAGAGACCAACATGGTGTAATGCATTGTAGTCAAATGTTTTAGATGTGTTATAATTATTTTGTATTCATTCCACTTCCTTCTTATACCCCAAAGTAAAATGAAGGGCACCCATTTGTCTTTTGAAGCCCTGTAATAGTAAATAGAGCATAAAATGAATGTAAGTATAAGTCCAGGTCTTTTGTGAAGCTCTTAGGGGTTCTTTATAGAACATCCAGTAGGAACAAGAAAGCTGCTCAAGATGTATGTGCAGATGTATGGAGCTAGATATAGGGAAATCCAGGAAACAAACCTGTTAGAGGCACCAAAGACTTGAAGATGGGGAGTTATCTTTACTGTAGGGAAACATGCTTGGCACAGTTAAACAGAGCTACAGTTGGAATAGAATAGAATAGAATAGAATAGAATAGAATAGAATAGAATAGAATAGAATAGAATAGAAAATCCCCTTATTGTCCCACAATGGATAAATTCTGGTGTTTACAGCAGCAAAAAGATTATAGAGAAAATGGTCACATAATTATGGACCTTGCTTGAAGATATATTAATTTTATTTATAAAACATTTGAGCAAGAATCTGTTCTTGAGACTTCGACATCAAAGTAGGGAGGATTCTTACTTTGGTTATATGTCTTAGCAGGATATATCACACAGCAGCTATTCAGTTTCAGAGGCCAAAAAATATTCAACATTCTACTTTTCCCCATGTTTCTGAGAAAGAAGTTTATCACAAGTCTAACAAAATCAGTACTGCAAAGTCGTAAGTGCTCGGCAGTGACTGTGTGAACGACTTTTAGATGAATGAACAGTGTTAACCTAAAACTTAGTCACATTGCGCAAATTTACGGTAGAAAACAGTAAGAATTATGCTTTGTTTCTTTCCTTTATAAGGATACACTAAATCCTTAGAAAAAAATAAAGAAAATAAAATACTGTACTGTAAAGTGTTTTAATAATATAAATACTGTGAACCTGGAGAATAAATAACGAATATACAGCTGTGGACATTTTTACAGTAATGGATATATGAAAATAGCAGCAACATCAGAGATGTGCAAAATGACAGCAATATGTTATTTAACTGAATAAGATAGAAACTACAAAATCAGCATGAATTTAACAACTTATTGAGGTTGTTGGTTGAGGGTTATAAAGTCTTACAGCTGCTGGAAGGAAGGATCTGTGATAACACTTCCTGGTGCATGGGTGAATGGGTCCGTCAAGATCTAAACATCTAGTATCTATAGAAAGTGTTTGCAAGCAACATCAACGATATTTAAAAGCACTTTAAAAAAGCAAAATGGACCAAAGTGCAAAATAGATATGATGCTTGGACATCAAAATGCAAGACGCTCATATATAGATAGATAGATAGATAGATAGATAGATAGATAGATAGATAGATAGATAGATAGATAGATAGATAGATAGATAGATAGATAGAT